TTCTTTTTTTTTTACGTATTTTTTAAAATTTATTTTGATTTATTAACAATCACTTCCATGTGCTTTTGAGTTTAAAATTTTTCTCCCCCTTCCTCCCCCCCACCCTCCCCAAGACGGCGCACAATCTGGTATAGGCTCTACATATTCGTCCTAGTCATTTTTCAAAGTCCACCTCAAAGATCACGCCCTTAAGGACGCCTTCCCTGATCGTTGGAGGGCATAACCCTCTCGTCGCCAGCCTGTTTTCCCCTTCCTAAGGCATGGATCCTGTGCTATCGGGCTGCCTGGGTCTGTGCTAGACTGTGTGGAGGCTCTGTCATGCCAGGCTTAGCCAGCCTTTGCATCTACGCCCGTGGCCGAGCACAGAGACTTACACAGACGAGGTATATGAAGGCAATGAGTGGAAGTCACCACTCTAGGCTGTCAGGCTGGCCTCTCGGCCTGAGGTCAGCAGTGGGTGGCCTGGGGTGGGGGTGGGGCCCCCTGGCTGCAGGCCCCCTTTCAGTCCGTGGGTTGATGGCTCAAGGCATCAGGCTTGCTACAAATTCGAGGAAAGAGGAACTGATACTGGGATGGTTCCCAATCCTCCCCTGACCTTCCAGGTCTAAGAATGCAAGTCACTGGGCTGCCAGACTGGAAGCCATCCCACTTCTCCTAATGAGCTCAGTCGCTTCCTGCCCCACCCTGATTGGGCCCCCCTCTCTCCCATGGCCTTGGCTGGTAAGACAGGGCTGGTAAGAAGCCCCAAGCCTGGACAATGTAACCACAGCGATACTGGGGGGACCTATTAATCCAGTCGACTGCTATGGAAAGCCATTTGGAATTAGGCTAAAAATCAAGTAACCTGCTCGAACCCTTCGACCAAGGCACCCTGCTGCTGGGCAGATGCCCTGCGAGCGTCCAGGACACGCCAAGATATTCAAGCACCATTTTGTCTGGGACTCAGAGAACTGGAAACAAGTAGATGTTGATTGATGGGGGATGGTTAAATAGACGTGGTACAGGAATGGAACGGGCTCAGAGAAATGGTGACCAGAAAGAGTTCGAGGAGGCATGGGAGGATTTCTATGAACTGATGCAGGGTGAAGTGAGCAGAACCAGAAAAACAGTGCACGTGACAATGAGGACAGTGTCCGTGGAGAGAAGGCCAGCGCCAAACACAAGAATGAGAACGAGGGAGGTTAGCTGGTGGGTAATGAGAAGATGGGAGAAAGTGGACCCCCTCCCCTCATTGTGCAGGTGGGGGCCTATGGGTGTGGAACACTGCATAGACAATCAGAAGCAGCCCAGCATTGTCTGTGCTTGGCATCAATTTTAAAAGTTAGAAATGTATTGTGCATGACTGCACATGTATAGCTTGCCTTCTCAAGGAGGGGGAAGAGGAGGAAGGGAGGGAGAGAATTTGGAACTCATAAGTTTGAAGAATAAATGTTAAAATTGTTTCTACATGTAATTGGAAAAATAAAATATAAAAATTCTCCTTCCCCAAAAAAAGATATCTTAAAGAGTCTCGTGTCCAGAAAACGTTCTCTAGTAGTGGACTGGCCCTATATACCAGCTCTGCCAATTGTGAGCTGCGTGACTCTGGGAAAGTTCCTTCACCTCTCTACACCTCAGTTTCCTCATCTGTAAAACAAGGCTGTTTTGTCATGTCCCACTCTTGGTGACCCCACTAGGGGCTTTCTTGCCAAAGACACTGGAGGGTTTGCCATTTGCCGCTCCAGCTTATTGTACAGATGAGGAAACTGAGGCCAAAAGATGAAGTGACTTGCCCAGGGCCATCCAGCTGGTAAGTGTCCAAGGCCAGCTTCGAACTCAGGAAGAGGAGTCTTCCCGACCCCAGGGCTGGAGCTCTACCCACTGCCCCTGGCTGCCCCAGAAAATGAGGGGCTTTGCCTCAGTAACCCCTAAGGTCCTTTTCCAGCCCCAGGTCTTGGAGTCAAGGTCAGATGCCACCTCCCCCAAGAAGCCTCCCTTGATCTCCCCAGCTGGCTAGCTTTCCTCAACTATCCCTAGAGCGACTTCTCTGGGTCCCACCTTTGCCCCCATCATTTCCTAGCTCCTTGTAGAATGCTCCCCGTGACCCACTTTGTCTCAAGTGACCCCCCCCTCCAGGCACTCTACATGTCCAGAGAAACTGGACCAGGCTGGCGAAGGGGTCACATGCTTGGCAAGGGATATTTGTCTCCTCCAAGGTGAATTTTGCCTTCCCTGACAGGGAGAAAGGCCTTGGAGACCACCTAGATGATACAGCCCCCTCCTCTCACAGAAAAAGGAGGTGGGCCGAGGGCCCCTGCCAAGAGAGGAGCAGAGACGCTCAGCCTGGAACCCAGCTCCTCTTCTCTCTGCTACGGCAAGCTCGGTGCTCCCTCCCTGACACTAGGAAATGAGCTAAGTCCAAACACGGGTGAGTCACCCAAATCCACTTTTGGGGAAAGGGCCGACTCCCTGAAGCGGCCCCGGGGGCTCCTTCCTTGGGCCAAGCCTTCCACAAAGCACACACTCAGCCCTGACTTGCTTTCCCTTAAGTCCGGATTGCCAGATGTGAGGTCAACTTGCATCCGCTTTGCTCTCTCCCTACCAGGTCCTCCACCATATCGCCACCCCGCTGACCAGGTCCAATTTCCATTGCATTCTCAGAGGCCCAGCTCAGAGGTACCCGATTTAGCTCCCTGCCACCCGCCCTTCCCTTCCTTCCTCTGCACTCACAGGCTCTGATCCTGGGCTGGGAGGCTGGCATCAGGGCCTGCCCTGACCCCGTTCCATGTCACCACAGCCTCGCGGGCTCCTCCAACAAAGTGGGTCTCCCCACGTGGTGACTCCCACTGCTCCATGGTCCGCACCACAAGACGGGTGGCTACACCCTGCAAGTTCCCAGAGTGGGAAATCTCAGGGCTACGAGGGCCGGTGATCGCCGAGTGCAGAATCGACCTTAGAGAACAGATGCTGCTGACTTGAACATCAGAACTGGGGGTGGGGGGCTTGGAACAGGGAACGTCAGAGCTGGGGGACTCAGCACAGCATTGAACAGTGCTCTAGGCCCCCTTAGAACAGTGCCTGGCAGAGTATGATGATATACTTGATAAATGTTAGTTGATTGAAAGAACATGGAATGTCAGAGGTGGGAAGGGCCTTAGAACACAAGACAGAATGTCCAAACTAGAAGGGAACTTAGAACACGGAATGTCAGAACCAGGACAGACTTTAAAGTGGATCTGGGACAGACCTTAGAAAAAAGAACATGGAATGTTGGAGGTGAGAGTGTCTTTAGAACAGGGAATGTCAGAGCCGGGAGGGCCCTTAGAACATGCAATGTCAGGGCTAGGAGGACTCTTAGAATAGTGAACGTCAGAGCCGGGAGGGCCCTTAGAACATGCAATGTCAGGGTTGAGAGAAGCCTTAGAATATGGGATGTCAGATCGGTTGTCCAGATGGCATAATGAGGGCTCAGAACAGGGCATGCACTTGCTCAAAGTACCCCCTTCTGACATCCCATGTCCTTGGGCCCCTCTCAGCTCTGACATTCCCTATTCTGAGTCACTTGGGGAATTATTATTTGAGGGGTCCCCAGGATGACTGCCACATTTCTCACCAATCACTCAACAGACAAATGTCTGTCTATTCAGTGCTAACTGCCAGCCAGGTGCTGTGCTAATTGCTCAGGACACAAAAGGAGACCAAAGACGGGCCCTGCCCTCAAGGAGCTTACAATCACCAGCGATTCTGCATCAGGGTAAGCTCCCGGGCCTAGTTCTAAGTCCCTAACTGAAGTCCTATCATGGGACTCAAAGCAAAGCCTCAGGATCCCAGAGTCTCTGCGCTGGATAAGACCTTAGAAGTGTCTAGGCCAAATCACACCAGAAAAAAGAATCCCCCAGACCACACAGCCAGCAGACGGCCACCCAGCCTCTGCTTGAGGATGGAAAGCAATCTGATACAGTGGGTTGGGAGGATCTGAGTTCAAATCTCATCACTTATGTCACCCTGGGCAAACCATTGCTCTCTGGGCCTCTGTTTTTTCCCCTGTAAACTGAGGGGGCTGGGCAGGGTGGGCCTCAGGGCCCTTCCGGTTCTAGAGCTAGACTCAGTGGTCTCTAGTGAGAGGCGGCTTATTCTGGACCACTCTTCCTAATTTTTCCTAAATCATCCCAGAGAGTTTCCGCCACCAAGCCTAAATCTGCCTCCTTACCGCTATGCTTCTGGGCCACCAGCTCCTCAAGCCTTCTCTTTTCTGGGCGTTCTAGCCTCCGGGCCTTTAACCGATGCGCCTAGGGCATGGCCTCTGGCCCTGTCACCATCCTGGTTTGCCTCCTCTAGGTGTTCCACAGTTCTGTAGCCCTTTCTCATCTCCAGATCCTCCTTGCCAAATCACAGGGCCCCCATGTGGGAATGGCCCTCGGAATACACCTGGTCCCCCCTGTCCCTGAACCAGAGTCCCTCTGCAACGTCCCAAACAAACAGCCACCTCGTCATTCCTTGAATACCTCCCATGAGGTAGAGCTCCCTCTCTCCCTGGGCAGCCCGATCCTTTTTGGGATGGCTCTGGAATCACCCTAATCTTACAACGTGTGTGACCTTGGGCAAGTCACTTAAAATGTCTTGGCCTTATTTGTCATCTGTAAAATGGGTTTGACTAGGGCCTAGCTGGTAACCTCGCCAAAAGGGAAAGTTTAGATCAGGGGTGGGGAGCCTGTGGCCTTGAGGCCCCCTAAAAGGATCTGTTCAGTAGAACTTGGACTCGGTTGAACAGCTGCACCCAAGGACCTAGAAGGCCACAGACAGCCTCGAGGCTGCAGGCTCCCCACCTGGGACGAGGTGGTCTCCAAGGGCCTTCCGGCTGCCGTTTTAAGTGAACCATGGTCTGGTGACGCGTGTCTACCTATCCAGCTATACAAACAGATAGATAGCTAACACACACACAGAGACATATATCTGTATGGATGACTGCACTTCATTTCCCACCCTCTCCGCAAACCTTGCCCCTTCCCAGCCCCACTCACCGAGGGCCCCGAGGCCCCTGAGTCGGTGTCGTCCACAGAGAGGGAAGAGCTGCTCCGAAGCCTGGAGCGCCGCTTCTTCAGCAAGTCAGCATCCCGAACGTGGGAGAAGGAGCCATGGGCCCGAGGAGGGGGGACAGGCCCCATGCCGGCCTCACTGTTCAGCGAGGGCCGCCTCAGTCTGACCGCACCAGGCCCCGTCCCGTTTGTCAGCCAGTCAGCCGGGGACGGCGTCCTGGTCCTGACCGCGGGGCCTTCAGCCCTGGCTCTGGCATCCTCGGAGCCGCTGGCCTCCTGGCTCCCAGCATCCTTCTTGGCCTTGGTTGCATCCATCCCAGCATCCTTTGGGGCAACAGGGGCCCCCGTCCTGGAATCCTTTGTGTCCCCATTAGACTGCTGTCCTGAGCTCTTTGCAGGCATGCCCACCCCTGGGCTGGCCTTCCCCTCTTCTTCCTTAGGCTGCCTCCCAGCAGCCTTTGGGGGCTCCTTCGAGGGACCTGGGCTGGCATTGTCCCTGTCGTCAGTCACAGCCCCTGCCACGTCCCCGCCACGCTCCCGAAGGCGCTGGGCCAGGTGGCTGGAGCCCATGGCTTCAGGCAGCTCAGGCTCAGGGCCGCCCACCCTGTAGGTGCTGGCCCGGCCGCCACCCTCCACTTGCACCAGCTGCAGCTCCTGGCCTGTGCAGAAAGCCCGGATCTGACACAAGTAGGTCATCACGATGAGCTTGTCCGGGACGGCCAGGAGCACCATGTCTGCAGGCTCCAGCAGCCGTGAGACACCCAGGGCCGCAAAGCCATCGAAAGCCTGGGTAGGGAAGGGCACAGGCAGTAGGAGGGGCCAGATCCCGAGCCCCTGGCCGCCACCGGGGGGAGTTCCCACCCTGTCTCCAGCAACAGCCCCAGAACTTTCTGGTGACCAGAGACGGGGATTTTTTCACCCAAGCCACCATCCAGGGGATTTATGGGGCCACAGGACCACCCCTGGCAGAAGGACCAAGCTCTCTGCACTTTCTGTAGGACCAGGAGGTGCAGCAGAGCAGTGGGGAGAGTCTCGGATTGGGAATAGGAGTCCTGGGCCTCAGTTTCCCCATCTTCAGAACAAGGAGGGGTGAGCTGGATAGCCTCTGCCCCACTCTAGTTTAGCCCACCTCCCCATTTTAGAGGTGAAGAAAATGAGGCCTTGGGAGGTGAAGGGATTTGTCCCCAATCACCCAGGTAGCAAGAGGCCGGGGAAGGGTTTGAACCTGGGCTCTCTTCACCTGACAATATCGCCTCCCGCCCCAGCTCATCCTCCCGAGCTCCCCTCGCCTGTCACACATACCTGCTTGTTGTTATGTTTGATATTCTGGGGGTCCAGGGCTGCGAAGTCACTGCAGGGCCAGAAAGCCAAGCTCAGGGTCAGAGGCTGGGGCAGGCTCTCTGGCCTACCTGCTCTCCCCACCCCCAGCACAAGGACAGAGTCACTTACAGCCCACCAAGAGCCTTCTCCAGGTCGTCCCTCTGAGAGACACCACGTAAAGGGCAACGGTGTCTAACCCCATTTTACAGATGAGGAGACCAAGGCCCAGAGGGAGCCGGCATGTGCCCATGACCACACGCCCAATCAGTGTCAGAGCCAGGATTCAAGCAAGTGCTCTCCCCTCCCCCGCTTCCCAGCACTTCCCCCCAGCCTCTCACATCTTGTCCGGATGGAAGTAGTGTAGGATGGCACAGAAAGCCAGCCCGTTGCGCCATGATGTGGTGAAGTTGGTGACACGGACACCTGGGTAACTCTCTGTGACCTCCTGGCACCACTCAAGCAGGGACTGGCTGGAGCTGACCTGGGAGCGAGAGAAGACACCACCTCAGTGCCGGAGCCTCAAAGAGGCCTGGGTGCTGGTCTGCAGGTCCAGCCCCTGGCTCGGGACCTCCTAATCTGCCACAGAGAAGAGAGCTGGGCATTGGCACCGCCCACTGACCCCAGCTCTGGGGCTCCTGGCACGCTGCTTGTCCAGGGCCTACTCGCCAACCTCTGGGATCATTGTTTTCTCCCAGGGCAGCGACTACAAAAAACACCGTCCTTCACCAGTGCCAAGCACTGGGCCCTCAATCTGGAGGCCACGTGGCCAGTGCAGATGTGCCGGGCATAAAGGCATCAGGGAAGCTCACCCAAGAGGCCGGACCCACCCCAGCCCCAGTCAGTGGCAGAGGCCACCAGCAGCCCGCACCCAGAAGGCCCCCCGGTGTCAAGGTGCCAGGCTCCCCATCCATGCCATGCTGGTCCACACTGGGAGGACCAAGAGGGGCAGAGGTAAGACCTCGAAGCCTGCAGGAGAGCTTCGCCACCCTGCTTCTCAGGCAAGCTCAGACCTGGAAGAAGGGGCAGCATGCCAGAGTTGGCCTACACCTCTTCCCCCCATCCCATCCATGCATGAATCATTCTCTCCAGTTAGCTCAGCTTTTGCCCCAAACATCCTGATCTTGGGGGGTTAGTGAAAAAGCAGCAGGCCAGGAGGGCTCATGGGGGCCCCTGTCCCTACCTTGGTGCCCAGGGGAGGCTCCGGGCCTCCCCCCCAGCCCTGAGGCCTCCTGTCTTCTTCAGGCCATTCCTGGCTGGGGGGTGTTGGTGCAGAGAAGGCAGGAGAGCCCCGGGCCTCCCCTTCCTCCTGCACTGAGGCGGGGGCCACCCAGGGGAAGCTGGTGGCTGTGGTCATGGGGGCTTCTTCCCCAGCCCCCCCACCTGCTGGGTCTGGACTTGGCTCCTGGATAGACCCCTCAGATTCTGGCTCTGCTTCTGACTCCTCCCCCAAACCCAAGAGTGCCCATCCCGTCACTTTCCCAGCTGATGTCGCCTTTCTAGACATCAAAATCCCAGCCTCCAGCTCCTCGGTCCCCAATATCTCAGCCTCCAGCTTCTCACTCCCTGGCATCTCAAATGCCAATTTCTCAGTTCCTATTGCTTCATTCTCTAATACACCAGGTTCTCCCTTCTTGGTCCCCAATATTCCAGCTGTTTCCTTCTTCCCCAACACCCCAGCTTCTGTCTCCTCAGCCCCCATTGTCTCAGGTGTCAATATCTCCTCAGTCCCCAATACCTCAATTTCTATAGCCTTAGTCCCCACTATCTCAAGTGCCTGAATCTCAATTTCCGTCTCCTTAGGCCCCAGTATCCCAGATTCTGTCTCCATCCCCAACACCCCAGTTTCTGTCTCCTCAATCCCTACTATCTCAGGTGTTGGTGTCTCTTCAGTCCCCAATACCCCAGGCTCTGTCTCGGTCATTTTTAACACCCCAGCTTCCATCTCCTCAGTCCCTAGTACCCCAGTTTCTATAGCCTTAATCCTCACTATCTCAACTGTCTGAATCTCAATTTCTGTCTCTTTGGTCTCCGACACCCCAGATTCTGTCTCCTTAGGCCCCAGTACCCCAGATTCTGTCTCCATCCCCAACACCCCAGGCTCTGTCTCGGTCATTTTTAACACCCCAGCTTCTATCTCCTCAGTCCCCAATGTACCAGGTGCCAAAATCTCTGCTTCTGTCTCCTCAGTCCCCAGTACCCCAGTTTCTATAGCCTTAGTCCCCAGTACCCCAGATTCTGTCTCCTCAATCTCCACTATTTCAGGTGTTGCTGTCTCTTCAGTCCCCAGTACCCCAGTTTCTATAGCTTTAGCTCCCACTATCTCAAGTGCCCGAATCTCAGTTTCTGTCTCTCGGGTCTCCGACGCCCCAGATTCTGTCTCCTTCATCCCCAATCTCTCAGCTCCTATCTCCCTATTCCTCAACATCCAAAATTCCGCCTCCCTCATCCAAGCCCCCGCTTCCTTAATCCCCACTACCTCAGGCCCTGTTCTTGGAGCACCCCCTACTCCGACCCCTACCTCCTCCCCGCCCCTCAGCATCCCAGCGCCCGTGTCCTCAGTCCCTGTTAGCCCAGCCCCGGCCCCATCCACCTGTCTGTCCGTGCTCCCTGGATGAGCGCCATTCCTGCTCACCTGGGCCATGGTGCCTTCGGCTCCCGTGGTAGGTACCCCCAGGGCCCCTGGCCCCTCTTGGCCCCTCTCCTCTGCTCTCCCACTGTCCTGTCCTGCAGCTCTTTCCGCTATGCCCAAGGGGAGCTCCCCAGGGCCCCCGATGACTCCTGCCTCAGCCCCAGGCCCAGCTCCATGGACTGGACTGGGGGCCTCTGGGTTCTCATTCTCCTGAGCTGGAGGATGCTGGTCTGGCCCCTGGAGTTCTGCAGGGCCACGGTCCTGAACTTGGGGCTGTTTTACTTTCTCATCCGCTTCCCTAACCTCTGGCCTCCTAATTTCTTGGCCTGAAGTTGCTTTAAGGGGGACCTCATTAGTGGCTACTCCTGACTGGCTCTCCCTGTGGGCTCCTCCGGGGGCGTCTGGCTTCCTCCCAGCATCCTCTGTGGCGACTGCTGACTCCTTGGCCTCTGGCCCCCTCCCAGACTTCTCCTCCAGTGCTCCCCCTCTGGCCTCTGGCCCCCTCCCAGCCTCCTCCTCCTTCTCTTCCTCTTTGGCTTCAGCCCCCTCCCCAGCCCTTGCCCCTTGGCTCTGGACCTCCCCTACTCCTTGTCCCATCTCCTGGTTCTCAGTGCTCACAGCTGCCTGCCCAGCTCTGTCCCTGTCCCAGGCCCCTCCGCCCCCCTGGGGGGGGCACTCCTTTCTCTCCTCCTCCTCCCTCCTGGGATGCATCCCTGACACTCCTTTGGCCTCTCTCTCCTGCTCCAAGCTCTAGCTGATGGGCTCCCCCTCCTACGGGTCCTGCCTGCTCCCCTGGGGGGTCCCCTGGGGCTTCCTCCTTGTTGGCTGGAGGGGTCGGGTGCAGGGGGGAGGTGGCCACTCTCCTGAGCCGGGGGGCTGGGATGGGGGAATCCTCGAGGGGTTGCCATGGGGACCTGGAGGAGACAGGATGGAACAGTGTCAGAGTCTGTACGGGGAAGATGAGTCTGGCCCTTCCCCCTCCCTGAAATCAGCCTTCCCCAGGCCCCTTCTTTTGGGCCTAGAACTTCCCACTTGAAACCAGTTGAGACACAGAGGAGGAAGCAGGGAGGGGCAGGGAAGGAGGGGCAAGAGAGGTGCCTGGAGAGGGGGCTGGCACCAAGGCCCAGCTAAGAGGGAAGTGATCTGGGGAAACTGCATTTTCTGGAAGGGCTGGAGTAACATGGCAAGAGGGGGTGGGGTGGAGAATGAGTCCCAGGACCCGGGCTTGAGCCCTGGGACACACACTCGCTCTCCCTGGGGTCTTGGTTTGCTCATCTGTAAAATGAGCAGGTTGGATTCTGTGGCCTCGGGCCTCGTAACCCCCCCCCCCGTGCCCGCCCACCATGCTGCCACCATGCTCTGACACTGACTGCAGAGCCCTCACCTTATCTCCTGCTCGGGTCCCTGGAGTGGCTGGGCCTCGGTGCCCATCCTGCCCCCAGCTGCTTCTGTCTCCTTCCTGGGCTGGCCCCCCGGGCTCGGCAGGCCTCGATGCCCCCTGTCCCCCTGGCCCCGGGAAGCCCTGAGAGGGGGCGCAGGGGCAGGGGTGGGGGCACTTACAGGGGCTGGGCTGGGCTCCTTAATGCCACCCTCCTCCAGTGGAGCCTGGGACGCAGGGTAGGCAGCAGGGTGGGCAGAGGCCACTTCTGGCAAAGGAAGGGATGGTCTGAGGGGGGCAGCTCAGCCCATCCTCCTCCCTCGGGGGCTGCCCCCTGCCACTGCTCACCCGGAGGCCCCAGCTCCCCCGAGCAGAGCAGCCTCCCGGCCTCACCTCCCTTCCTGGAGATGGCCCCAGAGCCAGACCTCCCTCCTTCCTCCTCCTCACACACAGTGTTCAGCTCCCGGGATGGATCTGCAGGGGCCACAAGGGGTGGAGAATGGGAGACCAGTTCAGCAGGTCCCCCCATACAGGCCAGCCCCCCATGCCGAAGAGAGAGCTGGGGTCATACCTGAGAAATGCCCCGACCTCAGGGCTGCAGCCCGACCTACAGAGTTGGAGGAGAGACCAGGAAAGATAGCAGAGCAGAAACCGAGGAGACAGCGGTAAAGGTCAGAAAAAGCCTGAGGGGTGAAGAGCTGGGGCCCAGAGCAGGCCTGGAGGGTCTCGAAGGGCCCAACACCGCTTCTCGGTGCGGAGGGCACCCCTAAGCCTACGAGGAGCAGCCCAGACCCAACTCGGACTTGGGGCCCTCTCCCAGACCCCACCTGGCTGGGCAGGCCTGGCCCGGGCCTCAGGGGCCCCCTGAACCACTGCATCCTCTTCATCACTCTCAGCAAAGTCCTCCAGGTTTCCCACATCACTGGGCTTCACACTCATCAGGCTGGCTAAACTCTGCATGTCATCATCCCTGAGGGCAAGAGCCGGGAAATTGCACCTTCCCTTCCCCCATTCTTAAGCTGCCTCAAGCCATCTCACCTCTCCTGTGCCTTTGCCTAGGCTGTGCCCCACACCCCATGGGCCTTCCCAAGTTCCACTTAAGTGATACCATCTACATGGAGTGGGAGTAGGGGTGGGGATGGGGCTCTCCCAACAGTCCCTAATTGTTGAAGCGCTCCACCTCCCCTGAAATTGTATAGATCATGTATATATTGTCTCCGTATTAGAATGGAAGCTTACTGAGGGCATTTTTATTAATTTTTATTTTTGTAGCTCCAGGGCCTGGTACACGGTGGGTGCTTAATAATTCTTGCTGAAGTAAATTGGACTGAGATGGGAAAAGCACGAAGACTATGGGAAAGGCACTCACGTGGCTCGGCCTTCCCTGACCAAGACTCCGGACAGGGTCAGGCTCAGCTCCGCGTTCAGTACTTTCACCGATTTTGGCTTTAATTTCAACCGAAGAGGCACCTGGGACGGGACAGGCCCCGCATAGCGGGCCAGGTCCACGTCTGCAGTGGCCAGCACCTTGCGCTGCCCCTTGGACTCCTGGGAGAGAAGAGAAGGACTTGATGTCAGAGATCTGTGTGCGCCCCGGGAGATCACAGGAGCCCCTACACCACCATTTACCTCCTCAGGCCACCAAGCAGGTCAGAAGGCCACAGTCCAGTGTGTCTGGACCCTATGCCTGCCAAGCTTGGGGGGATGGGCGGCAGCTGGTGCCCGGCTGACACGTGAGCCCCCAGAGCCGCTGCCAGACATGAGGGACACTAGAGGAGGGGATCCAGGAAGCACGGTGACCAGCTCCCCAGCAGTGGATCTGGATTCGAGCTCTAGCAGGGTGACCTTGGGCGAGTTACGTGGCCCAAATGAAGGGGGAACAAATACTCTCTGAGGGCTCTCCTGGCTCTAGAGGTGAGGCGCCAACTTGGGTGTCCTTTGTAAATCACTTCACCTTCCCGGGCCTCAGTTTCCCCCTCTGTAAAATGAGGGTTGGACTAGATGGTCTCTGAGGTTCCTCCCAACCCCAAATCAACTCATGTATTTAGCAACCTAGCAGAATGGGAGCTCCCTGAGGGCAGGGACTCAGCCCGCAGCAGCGCATCTGACACACAGCAGCCAGCTAATTTGGGGGAGGTTGATCGAATAAAATAATATAGATACGGTCACATAAAAAACAAGCACACTTGAATTTCAAAACTCCAGATTCCTTCACTCACGTTCTCGATGATGAATGTCCATTCCTTGGCCTCATACTGCTCCACATGGGGGTCCTGCAGGGGGTCAGGAGCAAGAATGAGGGGTCAGGAGCCGATGGAGGAGGGGCAGGGAAGGGACCAGGGGCTTTGGCAGGGAGCTGAGCAGAGGGCTATGAGAACACGTGTGCATTTGGTCCCACTCTCCCAGGGCCTCAGGGGACCTCTCAGAGCTTCAGTGTCCTCTTCTCTCAAACGGGACAGAAATCCTGCCTTGTCTCCCTCTCCACTCCCAGAGCGTCCTGGAGAGCCAGTAAACATGACCAGGGTCAAGAGCATTTTGGAAGAAGGTGAGAGAGATGAGGCGGAGGCAGAGATAACGGGAAGAGACGGCCTTCTGCCCATGCCAGTCTGTGACAATGCCTGTTTGCCATGTAACACGCTCCACGCCAATACCATGTGTCATCTCAGCTAGTAAAATAGAAGCTCCCGGGAACCCTGATGAATTATCAATGGCCAGTCTCCCTTCTGGGGACCTCGAGATGGAACATACTTGCCTTCCCCCAGTACAGAGGTGGGGGACTACAGGTGGGGAGTATTTTAAAGACTCAGATAAGGACGCCGGGATTGATTCTTTCGCAAAATTTATTTGTTGTTCCTGTTAGAAGGTAGGGGTGGGACTGGGAGATGGACGACAAGTAAAAGGGAAATGATTTTTGTGAAAACAAAAGGAATTGTTTAAGCGGGAGAGTTTAACGGGGCTGGGGTTCCCATTGTGTGTGTGATCCCGGCTTTAACCACTCTGTGTCTCAGTGTCCCTTTCTGTCAAATGAGGATAATAATTCTCACACTACTTACCTCCCGGGATTGTTGGGAGGTAATTAATTGCTTTAGAATCCATAAAAGCTTAGAGTGATTATCATCATTGTTGTCATTGTTATTATCCAGGTCAAAGGTTTTGTAAAATGTAATAGTTCCATGGGAACCATCGATGATGACAATGGTGATGGGAAGCAGAGAGGCTTAGTGGACAGCCCAGAGTCATGAAGCCTTGGGTTCTAATCCTGTGTCTGACATGGGAGGCTGATGCAGGGCAAATCATTCAGTGACCCAGGAATCTCTCTAAGACGAAAGGGTGAAGACTTGGGCAGCAAATGAAACCATATTTGTAAAGTGCTGGGCACAGCCCCGGCACATGGTAGAGATTTAATAAATAGGAATTTAAGGCATTTAATAAGTCCTCCCTCCCTCCCTTTCTTTCTTCCTCCCTCCCTCCCTTTCTCTTTCCTTCTCTCCTGCCCTCCCTCCCTTTCTTCCTTGGTTGGTGCAGGGAATTTCCTACCCTGCAGAAATCAGAGGTCTGAATTCCAAAAAAGAATCAGTATTCTGTTTCTCCACTGGACCCTGAGCTCCATTCGGCCAGCTCCGTGTCTTATCAGAACTCAGGGCTCTGCATACAGCTAGTGCCTCATAATCCTTGTTGAGCTCAGTCAGGGTCACTGTCGCTTCCTGGATGTCCCCATCAGGCCTGTGTCAGACCCTTGACCAAATCCTGTTGGGGTCCTGTGTTACTGCCTGCCCAGTGCCCTGGCGTGTACGAGGGCTCACCCGATAGAGCGTCACAGAGATGTCCACGTTCTCTGGCACCATCCACACCACCATGCCCCGATAAGGGTTCTGGATCCCAGGCTGCCAGCTGTGGGCCTGTGGAAAGATTTCTGAGCCCCCCAGATCTCCCTCCCTAACCCTGCCTCTCCCCCAACTCTCAGGTCTCCCATCCAAGAACCAGGAGGCAATGTGGACTCAGACAGAAATGGGAAGTTTGGTTCACCCCTGGGTCTTGGGAGACTCACCTTAGAGCAGGCACGTCGGTTCCTCCGGGTCCATACCACCACCAGCTTGTCTGGCTGCCTAAGGGCGAGACCAAGCAGATGGAAAGGGAGGAAGCTTGCTGGGGCTGCCCCCCGCGTCCTGCTCACTCTCCAGCTGCCATGGAAGGGAAGGGTCAGGCAGCTGGTTCCCTTATCTTGTGGCACAGTCGTAGGGTGGAGACTCTAGGGCAGGGTGGAGCATGGGGGCAATAGGGCAAAGGGTAGAAAGAGAAAGGGCTGGGAGACAGAGGGCTGGCAGAGGACAGGAAAGGAGAGGCAGGCAGACATACAGCCATCCACAGACAGAGGCACAAACCAGCTCGGGGCCCAGACAGCCACCTGCAGCATACAGGGACACCCTGCAGACACGCACAAAAGGAGGAAAGGACTGTTTGGGCCTGTCCTTTCTCTAGCTCTGCTCAGCTTCATGCCCAGTACCCTATGGCAGAACAGTAGCTCTCTCTGCAGAAGAAGGCAGGGTCTCCCTACTTTGGTTGTAGGAGAAAAGGAAAGAGAATTCTCTGCCCTGCCCCCTTATGTTCATCCATTTGACCAACTTGGTGTCTACTGCGTTCAGGGCGCAGAGCAGAGGCCAGGTTTGGACAAGAAACAGTGCCTGCCTTAGTGGCATTTACAGGATTGGGGTGGGACAAAAATCAGGGAAGGAGGAGGTGGCATTTAACTTGGTAAGGATTCAGTAAAGATGAAGAGGCAGGCACAGCCTGAGCAAAGACACAGAGGTGGGAAAATGGGGGGGGGGGGAAGTTTGGCAAGAATATCCAGTGTGTGGAGGGGAGCAAAATGGGACAAAGCTGGAAAGTGGGGAGGGAGGGCCTGGAAGACCAAGTAACTCAGCGTCATAAACGTGACATCCCCATCGCCTCCAGAAGAGAAGAGGCTTCTCAATGGGAAGTAGCCTCTATTTGGGAAGTTCTGCTGGGGGCAGGCGAGAGGGCCAGCCACTGGTTGGCGGCCCACAAAGGGCGGGGCTGGACTGACTCAGGCTGGGGCACTGCCAAGCAGGAATGGGCAAAGCAACTGGCCAGCTGATACAAGCAGGTGCCGCTCTCTGCCTTTCAGCCCACCAGCTCCCCTCTCAGTTTCATCACT